GTGTTCACGCTCTATTGGTTTTACTAGAGAATGTCGACTCAATTATCGATATTCTAAAAGAGCGCTATGGGGATCCATCTTACATAATAAGATTGCTTCTTGACAAGATCAAACAACTACCAGTAGTTAGGGACGACAAATACGAGAAGCTTTTTGCATTATACGACATAATCAACAATCTTATCCACACTTTGTTAAATGTAGGAGATGTGGATCAATTAAGAAACCCATTAATCTTTGATGAATTTTTAGACAAACTACCCGTACCTCAACGTATCGCTTTCATCAAACATTGTCAAAAGCTGAAACCTTCTGAGCCAAAAATAATTGTATTTCAATCATGGCTAGGCGAGACAGTTAAAGCTGCCACAGTTTTAGAATTTGGCCAAAGTATCAACAAATCAAAAGATTGCACACTGACAGTTTCAGGTGTTCGGGATGACACATACAAAGGTAAAAACAAAGGTTTTTGTAATTATTGCAAGCTGAGTGATCATTATGTTACAACTTGTTCCAAATTTAAAGATTTACCTACTGACAAGCGCTGGGAACATGTTTCTCAAAATAGCTTGTGTATCTCGTGCCTGGGTAAAAATCATTTACTTAAAGACTGCAAACGTAAAAGGCAATGCAATATTAACAATTGTAGCTTCAATCATAACAACCTTTTGCATAAAGACAAATCTGAAAACATAATAACAAACAAGTCTGACGATGGTGATCAATCAGTTTTCAACAACATTGAGAAAAACTGTAACGTAAATTTGGGTGCAAACAAGGTTTTGTTAAAAGTGGTACAGGTCACCCTTATAAGACCAAAAAATACTATTGACACATATGCTCTTCTTGATGAGGCTTCAACCATATCATTGATTGACGAGAACTTGGCTAACAATCTAGGTATTGACGGTCCAACAAAGCCATTAAAAATGCAATGGACTAACAATGAAGTTTACGAGCAGGAAGATTCTAAATTAGTTAGCATACGCATTAAAGGTAATGACATGAATACTAAGACACACATGATGAGAAGAGCTAGGACTGTCTCCAACCTTAATTTGCCAGAACAAACTTTAAGCGTAGACCAGATGACAGACAACTTTAAGTTTTTAAAGAATTTTACACATTGCTCTTACAATCAGGCACAGCCAAGAATACTTATAGGACAAGATAACTGGTCTCTTATAGTGTCCCGCAAGCTAAAGTACGAAACCTTTAGCGGCCCAGTCGCTAGCAAAACATTGTTAGGCTGGGTCGTACATGGTTTAACACAACCTAAAAGACTTCTAGCTGAGACAAATCATACCTTTCATGTACACGAGCATTTTCACGAAAAGGACGATCTAGATGAACTACATAATCTAGTTAAGTCTTATTGGTCAATTGAAAACGAATTTGCAACTCAAAAAGACTTTCCAATGTCTGTAGACGACAAACGATGTATAAGTATTGTTAATAATACATTAAAACGAGTTGGCAACAGCTTCGAATGCGGTCTTTTCTGGAGAAAAGATAACACTCAGCTTCCTGAGAGCTATAAGAACGCTTTCTCTAGGCTATTGACATGTGAACGCAAGATTGACAAAAATCCTGAGTATGGTCAAAAATATTACGAAGTAATGCAATCTTATATTTCGAAAGGGTATTTAAAAAAATTAAATCCCACAGAAGCCAGACACGAAACAAAACTGACCTTTTATCTGCCTCATTTCGGTGTGCAAAATAGCAATAAACCAGAAAAATTGCGAATAGTGTTCGATGCCGCTTCTAAAACTCATAACTACTGCTTGAATGACTTCTTATTACCCGGACCTGACCTCTATACTCAACTATCTTCAGTTCTCATGAATTTTAGAAAACATAAAATTGCCTTTGTAGGAGATATCAAAGAAATGTTTCTACAAATTAAAATACCAGAAAAAGACAGACAGGCTCAAAGAATTCTATGGAGAGGAAATAAAAGACATGATCCTCCGGACGTATATGAAATCCAAGTGCTGTTTTTTGGAGCCAAATGTAGTCCGAGTATTGCACAACAAGTAAGAAATCTTAACGCTAACGAGTTTAAGGAAAAGTATCCCAAAGCCTGTAAGGACATATTAACAAATCATTATATGGACGACTATTTAGGCGGAGCAGATGACATTGACAGCGCCGTTCAACTGATTGAAGACGTATCCTTTGTTCACCAACAAGGCGGATTCCAGATGTGTAACTGGATATCGAATTCAGCAGAGGTTCTGAACCAAATTGATCCTGTCAATTGTCACAAAGCTCAGGCTTCGCCCAAAAAAAAAACACTAACAGAAGAACGTGTTTTAGGGTTAATGTGGAATCACGACAACGATACATTTACCTATAATCTGCAATTTACCAGTCACATAATGAGATAATAAGCACATGCAGACGTCCAACTAAGCGCGAGGTCCTAAAGATTACAATGTCTATCTTCGATCCATTGGGTTTCTTGTCAAACCTTCTTATAACAAATAAGATACTTTTACAAGCCATATGGGACAGTGGTATTGGCTGGGACGAGGAAATAATAGACGAACATTTTGCCATTTGGAAAACTCTTTGCGAATCATTCCTAAAAATCAAAAATTTTACAATACCAAGACTTATGACAAAATTACCCATAAATGATTGTGACATTCAACTACACATATTTTCTGACGCCTCCAAAAATGCATACGCCGCATGTGCATACATTCGTTTCAAAAAAGATGATACCATTGACTGCATGTTGATAACAGCCAAGTCACGAGTCGCTCCCCCTTAAGCCTATGTCAATCCCAAGGCTGGAGTTACAGGGCGCCTTGCTAGGAGCCAGAATGAGCAAATCACTTTTGGAATCGCTACAATTACCAATTAGTAAGACATATTTATGGACGGACTCTCAAATTGTGTTGTATTGGCTAAAGTCTAGCAGCAAGCGATTTAAAACCTTTGTAGCTCAGCGTTTAGGTGAAATACAAGAAATAACGAATGTCGGCAATTGGAGATACGTTCCTTCTAAAATGAATCCTGCTGATGAATCAACGAAGGTCACAAAGGTTGACTTTAATACAAACAATTCATGGATAAATGGACCGGAATTCCTCTACAAAGAGATTGTCGAGTGGCCAACAAGTAAAATAACCTTGGAAGAAGACTCAAACGAATATGTAAATGTAATGACTGACGCAAAACATATACCTATCCTACCTGATGTAAACAGATTTTCTAGTTGGATGAGATATTTACGAACAACAGCTTGGTTATTACGATTTATAAACAATGTTAAAACTAATAAAGAACACCGAACTTGTGGCGAACTAACGGCAAAGGAATTAATGGAGGCCGAAAACGTAATTTATAAAAAAATGCAATCGGATTCCTTTCAAGTTGAAATTCAAAGTGTACAAAGAGGAGAAGCCATAGGGAATTCAAGTCGCCTAAAATCATTGCCACTGCAGTTATCCACTGATGGGTTACTAAGATTGAAAGGTAGATTGGATAATTTAAATGATGATGAGTATGACTTGAATGCCAAAAATCCGATTCTACTGAGTAATGATCACCCAATAACTACACTTCTAATATATTTCTATCATCAACAATACTGTCACATTTGTACCGAAACAGTCATTTCTAATTTGCGAATGAAATATTGGATAGTGAGATGCAGAAATACCGTCAAGAAAATAATTCGTAACTGCCAATTTTGTAAGAATAGACGTGCCAAACCACAGACTGCCTTAATAGGACAGCTTCCCAAATGTAGAATTGAACCAACTGAAAGGGCTTTTTTAAAAGTTGGACTGGACTATTTTGGGCCTATCGAGGTGTTGGTAAATAGGAGTCATGTAAAACGATATGGGCCGGGGAACACCCGGGCTGTTCATCTAGAAATAGCAGGGGACTTGTCTTGCAATGCATTTATGCATGTTTTTCGTCAGTTTGGTTGCCGTCGTGGTTTTCCTATAGAACTATATTCAGACAATGGGACCAATTTCAAGCGAGCCAGTAAGGATCTTAAATTGATTATAGATAATTGGTCAAAAAACGAAATGACTCAATTTTTGGCACACAAAAATTGCACCTGGACATTCAACCCGCCTTTGTCGCCTCATATGGGAGGAGCATGGGAAAGATTAATTCAATCGATTAAGAAATATTTATGTTTTTTACTTAAGGAACGATTTCCAAAAGAGTATACCCTTAAAACCTTGTTTTGCGAAATTGAATTCATGATAAATAGTCGTCCTCTTTTGTTTATGTCTTCCGAATTACCAGATTCAGACTTATTTACGCCAAATGATTTGTTGATCGGACCAAACTATAGAGAATCTTTCCACTGTGATGTATCAGATGAAGACATGAAATTGTTAAACATGTGGAAGGCTTCTCAGAGACTTGCAGATATTTTTTGGATAAAGTGGAGAAGAGAATACAGACAATATCTTTTGTGTAGCCGCAAGTGGGTTAAAAAATTTGATAATTTGAAAGAGGGTGATATTGTGCTGGTGATGGATGCAGATTTGCCAAGAAATGTTTGGCCGAAAGGCATTATTGTTAAAACTTATCCTGCCAAAGACAACTTTGTTCGAATCGTAGACGTTAAGATAAAAGGTAACATTTATAAAAGACCAATTGTTTAGATGTTAAGAAAACTATGTAAAAGAAAGGAAATATTGCCAAAAACTGAATTATATTACAAGGCAATACTTGGGAGGAGGATGTTGTATTCTTATTTTTGTTTATTTTAAATTTCAAATGCACAACGAAAAAAAAAAAACTCAGTGTTATAAATTCCTTAAAAATTAAGTGCTAAAAAAAATATAAAAAATGAAGAAGGGTAACTCTAAAAAAAGTAGTGTTAAGTAATGTGTGGACTAGCGACAGCAAGCAGCGAAAGCGACAAGAAATAAAAATTAAAATCTGAGTGTTATTTTTGGTCGTTCGATCTGGATACTAATCTATAGCCACAGGTAAACCCCCAACAAAAACGTTTTAGGGCTTGACCAATTGTCGAAATAACTTTTATATCAATTATGGTTTCAGCGATCTCAATGCCAGGCAGTTGCGTTAAAAATATAACATATTCAAATCGTAGCAATCGGTGTAATTCTTATCATCCTAACTGAATATAAGTTTGCGAGAAGTTGTTCCTAATTTCATTATTAGTGAAGCTCTCACTGTGTTAACACCAAATATATTGAAATTTTTCAGTGGTAAGCTAAAAATGAGACCCTATACGTGCTTGTTTTTAAAAACAAAATTTTCGAATCTAGCAATCGGCGTAAGACCCTCTCAGGATTTTAAAGGCTGACAGCTACCACCCCACCATTCGCCGATAGCATCCACAAAACCGACGACAAAACCAGGAACCAGGATCTGAAGGTGTGATTGTTGAAGTCGAAAAGTAAGTGGCATTCAAATCAAACTGATGGCATTAACAACATTTCGGTCTGGGCAGGATGGGCACCTTTGTATTCCCGGTTTCTTTTAAAACTTTTGAAAGGAACCTAAACAAACCAGAGGTGTTCGACAGGCTCACTAAAAGCAAAAGGATTGTTTACAGCTGTTGGGAGATAGTCAACGTGGTCGTAACATTTAAAGAATGTCGCAGACATTTTCCATAACAACAAGTGAGCAACAAAAGCGTTTCACACATATGCTTTCCTCTAATCTTTCACTTCATTATTTCATAGTTCTATTGTTAGTTTTGACCAGTTTAAGAGGAGCGTGCAGAATTTAAAAGAAATTGTGAAAGTTCTGCAACAGTCGGACGAAAATTATGCCGGCAGAGATCTTAAAGAGTGTGCCCATGACTACTACATGGCATTTTACCTCAACCCAGAGATTCGGCAAAAGTGCAAATTCCAGTTGCGACCATGTGCGATTGAATTCCAGGACCGCCTACTGGGTTTTCTGAGCAAGAAAACTGCCAATAAACTGAGGAGATTTCACTCAACAAAAAGGAATCATGATTTGATTTCCTGTGAAAGCGATTCTTCACAAGATTCAGAGTAAGTATAAAAGAGCTCCGGAAATCATTTTAAAGAACATAATATATTTTTTTTTCAGAGATCTTCCTTCTGGCATTGTAGTTAAATAAACCCCTGAATGGGCGGACAAAGAGTTATATGAGCTGCAGGCACACTGATTTGTACTAAGTTATTAATAAACAATAAATATTAAAACAATATTTCAAGCTGTTGATTATTTAGAAAAGCAACATTCCCGCTTTTTTTTGAGTTTTTTGAATAAGATAATTCATATTCATACAGATGAACAACTGAATTTACAATTTTATTTTTCTTGCTTTAACTCCAGTGACTGGAGAACATTTTTTTTATCGAAATAGTAGCCATATGACATTAGCGTTCTTGAGAAATGGTAGATCTTAAATAAGTTTCAATTAATTTCAATTTGGAAAAACTTCTCTTCCCACTTGCGACACTGATTGTAAGTGTTAATAAAATTCTCAAAGATACGAAAACGTTTGGAAACGTCTGTTTTTCGAGTATTGTTATCGAACGGAGCAATGATCTATTTGTATCGACGTGCTAAATACATAATCAAAGACCTGTAGGCACAATTGACGTAATGTTTTCTTAATGGTGTTTTGGAGTAGGACGTGAAAATAGGTTTGAAGGAGAATCTAGGCTGCTTTCTCGGATCTTCTTTCAAATTAACCGCCAATGCTAAGACCCGTGCCTCAAAACAACTTCGGAAGGTGGAAGAACAGAGCCACACAAATCTGGATCGGTTAAGGATCCTGATAAGTCGTTTGCGTCCACTACAGCATTTTGTTCAAATTCGTGCGAAGGCTTGGTGAGCGCCGACCAGACGGTCACCGTGGCATTCGGCTTGATATTCACAGAGCGATGGAACTTGTGGGTGGTCGATGGTCCGCTCTCGTTGATCAGACACCTCCTCGCTTCCCTTGTTGTAGAGCCTCACGAACTTGCCCTCGGGATCGGTCTCCTTTCTGGTTTATGGCAGCTATATGAATATAGTTAGAAAATTCTATATTCCAAAAATCGTGCATGTCTGATGAAAACCAATGATGCTATAATTTTATTTCCGTTATTTCTATATAGATTTTTCGATTTTTCCTATGGCAGCTATAAGATATAGTTGTCCGATTTTTTTTACACTTAAACTTAATATTCAAAAAATCATCGTGGGATAAAAAACAACGATGTTATTATACCCTTGCAGAGCAAAAGGGTATTATAATTTCAGTCAGAAGTTTGCAACGCAGTGAAGGAGACACCTCAGACCCCATAAAGTATATATATTCTTGATCAGCATCACGAGCAGAATCGAAATATGTATGTACGTCTGTCCGTCTGTCCGTCTGTCCGTCTGTCCGTCTGTCCGTTTCCGCGCAAACTAGTCTCTCAATTTTAAAGCTATCGAGCTGAAACTTTCCCAAAAGTTGTGTAGTTGTTGCACGCAGTATATAAGTCGGAACGAGCCGGATCGGCCGACTATATCGGATAGCTCCAATACAAGAGAATGAAATAAAAAATTCTCACTCTGTTGTTTTTCATCAGATCGACTTGAATTCTTCAAGATGGCGTTTTCTAACTGTTATTGAATTTCGGATTAAATTTGATCAAAATCGGACAACTCTATCATATAGCTGCCATAGGAGAGATCGAAAATTATATATAGAATTAATGGAAATAAATTGATAACATCGTTGTTTTTTATCAGAAAAGTATGATTTTTGGAATATAGAGTTTTCTTACGACTCTTGAATTACGAGTTAAATTTGATCAAAATCGGACGACTATATCGTATAGCTCCCATATGATCTATAGTCAAAAAAATGGGAAATGAATAGAAAAATCGTCTTAGCTTCGATGTTGTCTAGCCTTTATGCGTTTTGTTCGACATATTTGATGACTGCAAGGGTATATAAGCTTCGGCTTGCCGAAGCTAGCTTCCTTTCTTGTCATTTTATTTCAGTTATTTCTATATAGATTTCACGATCTTTCCTATGGCAGCTATATAATAGAGTAATCCGATTTTGATCAAATTTAATCCGAAATTCAATAACAGTTAGAAAACGCCATCTTGAAGAAATCAAGTCGATCTGATCAAAAACAACGGTCTGAGAATTTTCTAGTTTATTCTCTCGTATGGGAGCTATCCGATATAGTCGGCCGATCCGGCCCGTTCCGACTTATATACTGCATGCAATAACTACACACCTTTTGGGAAAGTTTCAGCAAGATAACTTTAAAACTGAGAGACTAGTTTGCGCGGAAACGGAGAGGAGGACAGAAGGACAGACGTACAGACGTATTCTGATTATACTCGTGATGCTGATCAAGAATATATATACTTTATGGGGTCTGAGGTGTCTCCTTCACTGCGTTGCAAACTTCTGACTGAAATTATAATACCCTTTTGCTCTGCAAGGGTATAAAAAATATTGTGAGAAGAAATATTTATTTATCACATTATTTACCCATTTTACAAATAAAAATCAAATTTTAAATATACACTCTTACACATTTTGGGGGCCCCCGTGGCCCAGGGGCCCCGTATAATTGATACGGCATATACGGCGGTAGCTACGCCCCTGAGTCTAAAACAGGCAGTGCACAGTGGTTGCGCCCATAGGCCATAAATCGAAAAATTATAAAGGTATTAACTTTAAAAAATTGGTTTTATGAAATTTATCTGACTAATTACATATTATTTGTGTATTTTAGATCGATTAACCCTTTTTCGACTATTTTGTGAACATCTTTTTCATGTTTAGTTAAAGTTTTAGTTGTGATGCCATGAAATCCCACAAATAGTATGTATGTTAATGTGTTCGTCTGACTTTTAGGGTTTTATAAGCCTAAAATCAGCTGCAGAAATTTGCAGATGTTTATATAATCGGGAAAATACTGATGCCATCTAGCGTTTGCAAAGGGAAAGTTTTTCCTTATTGTGCTTTTGTTTTGTCCTCGTCGCTCGTGTTTGTAATGTTTTTTTGAAATATTTTTATTTATTTATTTCATTGAAATTCACTAAAACTGGTTCAGGCATACAATCTGTAAGTTTGGTTTAAATTTCTTGAAAAACAAAAACGTTTTTCATACTATATACTTATTTCTTTCCTATCATTCCTATAGCAGCTATATGATATAGACGTACGATATGGCCAATTTTTTTACTATACATTTAAAATATTTTTTTAGAATTTTGGTGTAAATTTCGTTACAATAACTGAACTAGAAGTACTTATGGCCGCTGCTCAATACAAGCCCAAATACTGTGCAATGGCCGGTGTTCGACATGTGCTCCATGTAAGGGCCTGTAACTCTTGTAGTTTTTCAAATTTGGATCTGAAATTTTTTGAGAACATTTTCGGAACAAATATCTATACAATAAGCCAAAAAAAAATCGATTTTTTTCCGCCACAAACTATTTTTTTGTTATCATAACTTTTTTGAGAAGGTTGGCGTGGGAGTGGAGTTAAGCAATCGCTCCAATTTTTTTTTATTATAGTTCTATGCTTGTAAATAACTTCCAGTATAAATATTAGCCTGATCTGCCCATTAGAAGTGATTTTAGGACTGCTCTCTCATCAAAGCGCCACCACTGATCCAATCGTTCCTATGGAAGCTATAGGATATAGTGGTATGATCCGGTCAATTTTTTTATAATATATTTATAATATTTTTATAGATTTTTTGTGAAAGTTTCATAGCGATAGCACATCTAGAAGTATTAATGGCCGCGGTTCCATACAAGCCCGACCACTGTGCAGTGGTGCGCTCAAGTCTATTCGCCATCTACAACCGTCTAAAAATTATAATAAGACATGGACAAGGAGAATCATAACCCGACAAATACATACAATAAAATTGTTTTATTCAATTCAATTCAATAATTTTGCTTTATTTTCCAATATCATTTTCAATTTTGCTTAAAGCTAACAAATTTTTTTACTTAGAGTTTAGACTTATTAACTATCTTTACAACTATAATATTCTATTATTTTGTTTATTTAATAATTATTTGTTCATTTTTATTTACATTTAATAACCCAAGAAAATGGTAAAACTTGGCTCAAATAAAATTGTTTTAATGATATTGCCTAAAAAGGCTAATTACCAGGGTTTTTCAATCAAATAAATGCTCAATATCCCCGGTCATTGGATCATCGAAATCGCCATCGCCGTCGCTCACCTGAAAGGGGCAAAGGGAGATTATGAGGATAAGCATAGTCTTGACAACCGTTAAGTTCTGTGACCACCTGCGCAACAAGTGGAGGTCCTAATCCCTTCAAAACTGGCTTCATAAAGGCCATCTGCTCAAAGTAACGCCAATGACTGGTTCCTTTCTTCAGCTGGTTCCGGAAGTACGTTCTTAGACCCTTGAACTTGAGCCTGCATACTCTTATCGGGACTTGCATCGATGTTAATATCTTTGTCCATGCCTATTGGGACTTATAACCCCTTAGGGAGTATGCGGGTCCCATATCGACGGATTGGCGGCGACCTCCCGCAGCAACTTTCTCGTGTAAACTTCATTCCACCGGCAGGACCACTCCATTTTACTCCTATGGAAAATCAAAAAGGTTTGGGTTTGGGTTCGGGTTTGACTGCTGCACGAAAGTTTTTTACATTTTTTTACCTTGCCGGGAAATTGTCGGCCGGGAAATTGCCGGTGTTGTCGGTGTTGTCTGTCAACTTAACAAATTTTGATAAATCGCGAGCGAAATGTTGCTGGAATGTAACTTTAACTTTATAAATTCTTTAAAATCGGAAAGTTTTTGTATACTGTTGTAGGGTACAAATGTAGTTATTAAACGTTTTTATTATAGCCTTTATTAATTGTTTTTATTTATTTTATTTGTTAAACCAATATAATTAGCTTATTTCACAATCTTTTGTTTTCGCGTCTGCACTCTTTGCTTCTTTGATCAGAACTAACTCCTTCCTCATTATCGCTCTTTGCTCTCACATTTTCAGAGTTGCATTTCAAGCCGTTCGGGTATACACACAATAGAATACAACATAACATACTTAGAATATTCCCTGCAGTTCTGGATGTCCACTGTGGACTTTTTGCAATTAAGCAATCAGTGTGTAGGAAAGGAAAAGGGATATTCCTAAGTGTTCCTCTCTTTCTCACTCTTATAACACGAATCGTTGCTTGCAAACGATGGCGGCCCGACTCCAAATTTGTCTTCTTTTCTTTCGATCGGAGAAAAATGAAACTGCGTCATTCTTTTAAGTCGTGCGTCGACGATT